CAGAGAATAAGGTGGATGGATGGAGTCACCAAAGCAGTAGGTGTGAGTTTAAATTAACTCTGGGGGATGGTAGAGGATAGGAAGGCCTGGAAGAACGTTGTCCATGGGGTCGGGATGGGTCGACATGACTTCGCAACTAACAACAACGTCATTGCTTTTTTTCTAGCCAGAAAATAGCCAAAGTTATTCAACATCACATATTCTTTTCTCTTATTCATCCACACCTTAATGAGAACTCATCTGCAGCACAGCCCGACACTTGTAAATATGAAGGAAAGAGACAGAGATGCCAATATTTATTGGAGATGGGACATAGAGAGAAAAAGCACCCATGAGTATGTGCATGGACCTCAGAGGACTTTCTGCCCAATTACCCCATAATTCTAGCAGTGCCACTGCAGGTCCTTGTCTTTTCCAATGAACAACAACATTCAGTCACAGCCCAGATTTTAGGGAGGGATTGAGTTTCAATAGAATTGGATGAAATCCTTGAAAGCAGTGCAACTCCAAAACCAGAAAAAGCTCCCCAGATTTGCTCCTGGCAGCAAAGTGAAAGGTGTTCTGTCTCACTCTGGGGAAGTGATGTTGTTTTTTTGTCAGCCAATGACTTTGTGCTTGGAAAAAGAATATAAAAACATTTTGAAAACAAGTTCTTAAAAAAAATCAGAAATGGACTGTAAAACTTGCACCAACCATTTTAACTACAAAACATAATGAACAGAAGTTTAAAAGTCATAAATCACAGCTTAAAGGCTTGCAACAATAAGTGCTGAATGCTGAGCATCCATTTGGTTTTATAGGGGAAAGATTTGCAAAACTGTGTCATTACAACATCAGATCTTTTGCCCAAACTAATTCTCACAGAGCTACTCCCTAGGAAACAGCCTTTAATGGGTCTACATTGGGTTACAATAAATGTCCTGGAACACACTGCCCAAGTTTTACTCTCAATCCTATTAAAAGTAGGCAATTTATCACAGAAAAGAGTGAGTTAACCTATTCTCCAAAGCACCCGAGGGAGGATGAGAAGTAATAGATGGAAACTAATCAAAAGGCTTAGAACTAAGGAGAAACTTCCTAACAGTTAGAACAATTAACCATTGGAACAACCTGCCTTCAGAAGTTGTGGGTGCTCCAACATTGGAGTTTTCAAAGAAGAGATTCCACAGCCCTTTGTGTGAAATGGTATTAGGGTCTCCTGCTTAAGCAGGAGCTTGGGTTAGAAGACCTCCAAGGTCCCTTCCATTAACTTCTGATGAGTAGGATCAGTAAGCAAGTAGCATAGTTAAAATCACAGTTTTGATGTTAATTTGTCAGGTGTCCCCCTGAATTCCAAACCAGCAGTGGAGAATGGCAGGTTCTCCCCCCCCCACCGAAAAGAATAATGATGGACAAGCACCATTGCACTGCCAGTCTCCCCCCTGAGGTGGCATATAGGCTACTTGGTGGGAAGGGGTACTTTTCTCTACTTGATACTATTTAATACCAGGTACTAAGGAACAGAGAGGGATCCAAGTAAAACCTCTGAAGATACCAGGTCCAGGGGCTCATTTGCAGAACTTGGCTCCAGAAGAGCAAGCCCCTCCCCTCCCAAGTTGTTCCTCTGGCCACCAAGAGAGAGCAAAGTCTGTTTTTCGCTACTCACCCAGGCCGGGAGCTGCTGGAGGGCGATTCCTTGGCTGATGGCTTGCTTCTCATCCTCAACCAGCCCGAAGGCTGCCAAGAGCCGGGATTGCTTCTCTCGCCGATTCCTTCTCCACCACATCCAGAAAAACAAGCCGATCAGCACCCAGACCGTGCTGAGCTGCAGGTAGCCGGCCAGGTAGATCGGCGCGAGGCACAGCACCGCCCGGCCAGCGAAGGAACTCAGCTCACGGAGCATCGGGGGCAGCGGCTTCGCTTCCCACCACGAAAGTCCTTCTTCGCTCGGCTCGGCGCTCGAGGCAGCAGAGTCTGGCTGCTCCGGAGCCGGAGCCGCAGCAGCAGCTGCCGGCTGCATGGCAGTGGAGCCCGAGCAAGAAACCACGAAGAACGACGCCGCTGATCCCGGGCCAGAGGGCGGACGGGCGGGCGGGTCAGCGGGCAGATGCTCAGCACCTCAACGCAGCTCCCTCAGGAAGCCCGGGGCGCTCCAAGCGCTCGTCAAAGAGCATCCGCGGTGTTGCTACTGTTGCTGCGGCTGCCACCGCCCATTGACTCTCCTCCTCCTCCTCCTCCTCCTCTTTCTCCTCCCTCAGCGCCGCCCCAGCAAAGCAAAGCAAAGCCAAGTCTCGCTCAGGTGTGCCGCTGATTTTCAGCCCCGCCTCCTCCTTTCCCCAGCGGCCGGTCCAGGCAGGTGGGAGAAGATGTCGGGTCGCTGCTCTTTGCTGCCTCCTAGAGGGCCTCGCGGAAATGAAAAGCCGCGATAAGTTTGTCTATGGAGATTCTCAGTCATCCAGGTTATGGTTTAATCAATCAATCAGAATAGACTTGGAAGGGACCTTGGAGGTCTTCTAGTCCAAGCCCCTGCTCAAGTAGGAAACCCTGGCCTATACCATTTCAGACCAGTGAACTGTCCAGTCTCTTCTTTAAAACCTCCAGCGATAGAGCAACCACAACTTCTGAGGGCAAGCTATTCCACTGGTTATTTTCTTCTCACTGTTCGGAATTTTCACTTTAATTTCAGGTTGCTTCTCTTGGTTGATTAATTTCTATCCATTGTTTCTCGTCCTGCCCTCTGATGCTTTGAAAAATAAGTTGACCCCTCCTCTTTGTGGCAACCTCTCAAATATTGGAATACTGTTATTATGTTCCCCACCCCTCACCCCGCAGTCCTTCTTTTCGCTAGACTAGCCAAACCCAAATCCTGCAACCATTCTTCATGTTTTTGTCTCCAGGCCTTTATCGTTTTAGTTGCTCTTTGCATTTTTCAAAACTCTCAATATCTTTTTTGTAATGTGGTGACCAAAACTGGATGCAGCCAAGTGTGGCCTTACTAAGGCTTGATAAAGCAGTACTAATGCTTCACATCGTTTTGATCCTATGCTTCTATGTATACAACCAAGGATTATATTAGCTTTTTTGGCTGCTGCTGGCACACTGCTGACATGTTTAAGTGACCACACGCTAGGACTCCAAGGTCCCTCTCACAGTTACTGTTTTTATTTCAGAGCTGAAGAAGCTTCTTGGATGAGAAGCAAAACAAAGAAAACTAAGAAAGTCCAGTTGCCTCTGGAAAAAGCACCTTTGAGAACTCGCTAAGTTTGCAAAGGCAGACCAGGCTGTTTTCACAACTTCATTGTCCTTCCTGATGGTGCTATGAAGCCTGTCTTTGATAACCTGGAGCTTACAGCAGTTTAGTGGAGTCCTTGGTGTTCTCTGAGGTTGGTTGTTTGCTTAGGAGAATTTCTTACCCAACCANGATTATTAGTTGCCCAGAGCCTCTAGAAACAGGGACTGACTGACTGACTGACGGACGGACGGACGGACGGAAGGAAGGAAGGAAGGAAGGAAGGAAGGAAGGAAGGAAGGAAGGAAGGAAAAAAATAATTTGTGGAACTTTCAGTTAAAAGCCAATTAAGCAATACTTTTGAAAAACATCATTTTTGTTTTTCTCTCTAACAGCTTCTTCTTCTGAGAATAGTCAATTGAAGTAGGTCAACCAGCTATTCAAGAATCATGATAAAGACATCTATAGAAGCCCACAATTATACCTAACCTGCAATCCAAGTTCTCACACATTTCAGGGTGGAGATCATTGAAATACTGAGATTTCTTTATCTTCAATTTTTGTCACCCACACTAATGTGAAATAAAGTGATTTATTTCACCTTGTTAGCCTTAGGCTAAATCTTCATGGTAAACCAGATTTATTGTACAGATAAAATTTGCTCACTTATTAAAAATGAACAACATAAAGGCCTATTTTGTATTTATATCTTAAGATAATGGTAGTAAGTAGAATTGCTTTCCCCTAAAAACTGTGAGCAAATATCTTAATTAAGAGGGCCATGCATTCTTTTTAAAAAAGAACCACTCTAGAATTAACTGGAAGTCTGATCTAAATTAAGATTAGAGGATAATATTTTTGCTTTTAATTGTATTAAATATTACAATTAGATAATTGTTATTTAAGCTTTTTAAGGGCCACAGATTACATACCTCATTATTACACAAACATATGTAGCTTTAAAAACAAAGGGGTAAAATAACTTTTCTAAAAAATGTTCATGTGTTAGAGGTGCTTCACAATCAATGTTATTAACCCCTGTGCTATAAATGAAAAGGCCAGGTACCTCTAAGTTTCCATTCACTTCATAAGTAAAATGTCACACTAAGTCACGCATTATAGAAAAAGAAAAGCTCCCTCTGTGAAAGAAATGGATGGCTTTAAAATTTGATACATAATAAATAAATAAATAAAATTAAAATATGATGAAAGTACAAATTTAATTCATAAATAAAAGTATTATTACTAAAACATAATATTATGTATCCTTCCTAAACTGCATATAATTTTTAGTAGAGGAAATGATGGTAATACAAGTAGTATGCTGGCTTACAAGCACTCTAAATGAGACATCCTAGTTAACATAGAATACTAAGAACTGGATTTA